TCAGTGTCACGAAGGTGTCTCTCTCTTTACCTGCTGGATCTCCATGGTAACCGATGCTGTGGAGCTACACTGGTCAGGAGCAGGTTATGTTCAGAGTTTCAGATTTAAATCGGCTGTAAGAGTGTCTCCTTTTAACCACATCGTTTTCTGGTGCTTCTTTATAAGAGATACAGATTCTCAACTTAAGGAATATGTTACATCTGCAAACCTGTTGAGCTGTAAGTTACTAAAACCACTGAATTTAGCCTCTAACACTGAATACATCATGTTGACATGGAACCAAGTCAAATGTAGTAGGTGATTGGTCCATTTTGTGCGGAAGAAGAGTTAAATGCCTCCTTTTGTGCAAACGTGCTCAGAGTCTGAAGCAGAAAGTCTGAGTTCACTAAGAAAGTTGATAACAACCTTCATGATACCTCAAATCGAATCAAGTTTGTTGTCACTTGGCTGTACATACACAGTAGTACAGGCAGGATGAGAGAGCGTTTCTTTAGGATCATTTAATTAGTAAGTTTTGCGGAATGAACGTCTGGGATAGACAAGACACTAAACGTTCACTCTCGCTGTCTTCCTGAAGGGGCCGCTGCGTCCATGCCACCTGTTATCTCTGACCGGGGTTTTAGTTTTGTCGAACCAGCTTTTACTAAGAAAGCCTGACTCTGTCGAACTTGATTCATGATACAGCCTTCAGAGACTGGATCTGCTGCTGTTTGTTAGCTTTTTGTTTGTTTGTTTGTGACTGAATAACGCTGGCTGGATTTCATCAGTGACACTTTTTTTCAAATGCAGTTCAATACAAAATCTCTCAACACTTAGAAGGATTTAGGTCGATTTTATTTTATTTTTTTTTAACAATGTAAGTCATATGATGTCATTACATAAATTGTTTAGTTTTTTCACCTTTTATTCATTTGATGTTGGTCAGTTTAAGGCTTGATTGCAGCACATCTTGGTATCATTTGTGCATTTTTTAAATAATATTATTATGACAAATTTTACTAATCAGGATAAGTGTGATTCCACACTGTCCACTCATCTGTCTTGAACATTGCTGTTTCGTTTTTTATTCACTGATGGAAAATATAAAACATTTTCTTCATAGTTCTTGATTTAAGCAATAGTTTTGAAGTGGGAAATACTTGAACAGACACTCTTTTACATAGTTCTTGTTGTTAAAATGCACACTAGCACCAACTTTTGACACTCTATGCCTGTCGACTGTTTCCGACTGATGCCCAACGATCGGTCGAGGTTCTTGTCGTCCCAGCGTGACGTCAGTGAGTCATGAAATCACTCGTGGGTGTGGTCAGATGTGGAGAAGTGAGTGAAGCAATGCATCAGCTCGGTGTTGAATGTGGTAGCTGTAAATTCACACAGTAGCTGCTGTGGTTGGTGTTAATATGTGCATCAAGCAGCCTCAACATTAAAACCGCTGACAGATGATGGATTATGTTGTTGCAGTGCAGTGTTCTGCTGGGAAGCCACGAGGAAGTCACTTTGACATGTACCACCTACAGGAACATTGTTCCAGAGCAAACACCCAGCATGCATCAGTGTATACAACGGATTCCTTTTCATGTGATCGGTTTCAAAAGACACAAGCCGTGGGTGTCACATCCTTGATTCCCACCATTTTTTTTTTTAATCTTCTCTCACTCTTAGTGACCAAATAATGAAAGGACAGAGAAACACTACACTAAATGTTGCACCTATCCTCTGTTTGATTGCAGTATGTTCCCTGACACACACATGCCCTTACTTCTGCCAGATGTAGCTAAGAAGATTTTCTTAAAAAACATTTCATGTTGCTAATTCCCACAGAAAAATCCCTTCCAATTAGTGAAGTGTAGGCACTGCTCACCATGTCACAACACAGTCTTACATTCGGTGACAGCAAGAACTTAGCAGCTGGCCTGCCACTGCGTTTTTTTCTGGGGTTTTTTTATTTATTTTTTTTATCCTCGTCACAGCTGAATTCCCGACACCGCTAAAGACAGGGGGGTTGAGGTCTGTGAGCAGAAAACACTTTCAGCAAAAGGACTACAGTCCCATGCCACATTCACTGCACACTGCACTCTATAATTAAAATCACCATGCCCCCGCTGTGTGCGAAGGGGGGGAAGGAAGAAAAAAAAACTATGTCACAAATGGAAAAATCAGGATACACTTCTTGGTATTCCAATTGAGTGGACGGCACAATCGAAAAATGAAGTTGTGAGGCAAGAAAAGCCTTTAGAGGCATAATACTCCTCAGAGGCTGAAAAGCTCACACATCAGCGCTTTCAAAAGACCTGTGAAAAGAATTGCGAGACGCAGGCTTGTTTGTGTTGCGGCAGAAAAATGAATGTTAAGGATTTGTTGCTTCTGAAATAGATTTCCTCTGTCATGTGTCTTGACATTATAAGACAGCTGCACAGGATGCTGCTTGTGCCAACAGCTCAAGCAGGACAGGAAGAAATAAAAACAACAAAATCAGATATGCACTTTTTTATCAGATCTTCCGAGTCTAACATACCAGATTTGAACGTGTGAAATGCACACATGAAGAAAGAAGTAATGCGAGTGTAAGACAGAGCAGAAAATATATATATTTAAAACAAATACAAGTGAGGATTTATGATGCAAAAATATCTTAGAAGTGGTTCTAACAGAGGGAGTGAGATGAAACAGGAAGACAACGAGAGCAGATTCTACAAAAGGGATTTACATGCTTTTTTTTAATGTGTCCAAAGATCAAGAAGCTCAAAATCTGTACTGTCCAAATCTTACAGCACAAGTTATGCAAGGAAAAAAAATCAATATCCAGAAAATGAAATCATACCTTGTACTTAGACGAATGTCAAACTATCAGATTTATGATGCTTCATGATTATACTCCACTAAAGGGAGTGGAGGATTTACTCAAGCAGGAAGCAAACTGTGCAGGAGCTATGATGTTGGGTATTGTTGGACAGGTTGTGTTTGATTGTTTTCTCTTGGAAGAGAAAGTTCCTCACTCAGACGAGATACATACACAGAGCTTCTGTCCTGCTGCAGGAACTAGTGGAGCCGTTATCAGGCAGCCGGAACCTTTGATTGTGTTCCAACCGCAGAACTCGTCCCTGTAGAACCGCTTTCAGGGTCGTTTTCAGGAAAGACAAAGAAGTACCTACTACCGGGTAGATACCACTCAGTATCCCTGAAAAACTGTCGTGCGGGTCTTGATGGTGATCACAAATCTCTTGGCCCAGCAGGGCAAGACAACGCTGCAAGGTCACATTAGATCAATTAAGAGTAAATATCTGGGGTTTCTCTCTTCAGAATGTCCACATTAAGGCCTGGTCACGGCACACTCTGGTGCATGTGGGCGGATTTGTGAAATTTGTCATTGTGAAAGGCTGATGGACTCGTCTCAGGGATATCTGGTATGTTGCTGTAGTTGGCTAAGATGCTAGCCAGCCAGAAACAGGCTTCTAGTAGTCAGTGACAGCAGCTCCTTGAGTTTATTTCTCTTTCTTTTCTCTCAATTGTGCTGGAATTCTCTCCTTGTTATTTTACATATTGGCTGTGTTCAAAATACCTCCACTCATTCCCTACTCACTATATAGTGATTACTATATAGGGAGCACCTCGGCTAAGTAACATTTCGGACACAACTCAAGTTATTAATTACGTCACTCGCTAGCCGTGACTTGTGCCCCAACAGCGTAGTACAAACACATCAAATTCACAGTTTATTGCGTAGCTAAGAAATCAAATTAAATCAAATTTATTGTCATGTTGCTGTACATACCAGATGGGAGCATTTCTTCAGGATCCAGTAACTTATAGCTATTTAAATGAAGTGGTGTAGGATGTCCAAATCACAACCGAGCGCCGCAATTTTAGCAACATTCACTGTCCTGATGTTCAGCAAAGTCTCCCGGTGGTAAGTTTTGCAGAATGAATATCTTGGATAGACAAGACACGCAAAATTTTCACTCTCGCGGTCTCCTGAAGGGGCTGTTGCGTCTATGCGCGACGCCATCTCATCTAACCCATCTGAGAAACGGGTAAAACATAATTTAGCAAAACAAATTTTTCACGCTCTTGTTCGTCTAGTTTCCATTTCCTTTCGCGCAATGCATGATGGTCCATACTGCTTGGTTAGTGACCATTGGCTGTAAACTACTTTTCACAGTGCATTGTGGGATGTTTTGAGTGCACTATATAGGGTGTAACATTTGTAACTTAACATTCGGACAGCCCTACAAAATGGCAAACACCCTTTATAGTGCACTATACAGGGCATGGGGAGGGATTTCGGACACAGCCAATGTCATTTAATAACATACTTCGAGGAAAAAAACAGTCTGCTAAAATGACTGCTACGTGTCATGTAGGAAATCTGCTCTATAGTCTGATCCAGAAGAGCCAACAGCTGCTCTCTTTAAAAAGCAATCCAGCAAGTCATTCATTCTACAGATATCGAATCATTGTAGAAAAGCTCGGCACAGTTCAGAAAACTTTGCTTTTAGTCAATGAACTCGTGTGCCAGATGTGAGATCACATTTTCAAATCAAAATACCACACTAACTTCTACAATGCAGCCATGTTGGTCTTGTGTGGGCACGATTGGATTATTTCAGGAAGTATACAGTAAATATCTTACAGATCTTTCTCACAGTGGACATTCTGATTCAGTAAAACAATCAATAAGTCTGTCTTACAGACATTGTTAATGGTTTTAGTTACACTTGTGCTTTTCTTCGTGTAACAAATCAGAAAATCTGCAGGAAAGTAAAGCCGGTTCTCTGTGATCTCCGAGGATTATTTATTCATCTCTTGGTAAAAATGGGCTTCATTCACTGCTGCAAATTACACATGAGAAGGATGAAAGGCGTTATTCACCTGCACACAGTAGCGCTTTTACTTGTCCGGGAACAGGCTGTCCTCTTGCTCATACTGAGAAATGTTCCACGGCACTGTTTGCAGCTACACAAATGAAACTGTTAATGGATTCCCATTGTCTCTTCCCCCAGTCCAAAAGCTACATGTGCAGCAGCCAGGGGAATGTACTATGCTTCACCGTAGATTTTGGATCAGGCTTCACCTGCTCAGAAGGCACCTCGAAGGTAAAGTATCACAGAGTTTAAAATTCTTGTTGACACTTCTTTGCTGAAGCTCCAGAGACTGCAGCTTTATTATGCTGATGTAAAGTGTGTAATGTTTAGCTCCGTTATCTTCCCTCCTCGCTTTAGGCTCTCATATAACACATCTATAACACAAACTTCACATTCGGCACAGTGGACCTTCATAATGGAGCCTATTAGAAGTGCTGAAGTCAGTATCTCAGAGAACATTATACTGCTGTTGTTAAAGGAACAGTCTGAGATTATTTGGGCAGCTCAACATGTTCCCTTCATTAAATCGCTGAAGGATGGTTAAGTAACTCGTTTCCAGAGCACCAATGTTCTTCTGTTCTAAATTATATGCTTCTTTAAAGTACAATTGCACTGTAAAAATGTCACTTGATGGCGCAGGTCTCTGTGTAGTAAGACGTGGTATTTAAATGTGCTCATTACTGGAATCCCTGCGCTGTGTTTTATAATCGTTGCAGAGCGTGCTGTGGCGGTACAAGTTCTCTCAACTTAAAGGCTCCTCTGATGATGGGAAAACCAGGGTAAAACTCCTTTTCAAGAATGCTGAAAGCAAACAAATAGAAATGAAGGTAATAAAATCTTCTTGTTTTTCAGAATAAAGTCATAGATTGACAAGTTTTATTTATTGCTTTAGATGCCAAAGTATATTAGAGAGGAACTTTGTGGTGTAATTAAATGTTAGAATTCTGTTTTTTAGTAGATCTTAAAGGAAAATTCTGGTTTATTTCAACTTTATTAATACTGTGGATCAGGCTGACTTTGCACTGCCACAGTAAAGATTCAAAGCTGCTTTCCAGACAAACTTATTTTTATATACATTTTAAATCCATCCATCCATCATCTATACACCACTTAGTCCTCACTAGGGTCGTAGGGGGCTGGAGTCTATCCCAGCTGACTTAGGGGACACCCTGGACAGGTCACCAGTCTATCACAGGGCTACACTTAGAGACAGCCAAGCACACTCACATTCACACCTACGGACAATTTAGAATCACCAATTAACCTCAACATGTTTTTGGACTGTGTGGGAGGAAGCCGGAGAACCCGGAGAGAACCCACGCTGTACGGGGAGAACATGCAAACAGAAAGATCCTGGGTGTCCTCACTGGGATGCGAACCGGCGACGTTGTTGCTGCGAGGCGACAGTAGTAACCACTGAGTCACTGCAGCCCGTATAAATCTTCATTAAAGTTAATTCTCAGTCTGGCTGAAGGGTAAACACATAAATTAGCTGCTGTAATGATCATCGTACTAAACCTCCATCACGATCAAGTTGCCGGCCGACCCGATCATCATCTATATTCATCTGCATCATCTCAGCATTTACTTCCCGTACGGAGAGCTGAGCTTTCAGTCCAGCCAGTCTTCATCTTCTTTTCCAAATTGCAATGTTTATCACAGATTCATTAGTTCCACAGCTGGGACTCTACTCTCATCTCATGGACACGTGGAGATTTTCCAAGTCGAGCCTCAACAGGTCCCACTCTTTGCAGCAACAGTTTCCCTCCTCCGTCAGCAGCAGAGCAGCGAGTGTAGAAACGGCGGCGGCGGCGTCCAAAAGGCACGTCGTCTTTCAGGACGGCCGGTTGTCTTTTCCCCCCCCTCCGCTCTTCTATTTGATTCAGCTCCTCATCTGTGGACCGCTTCCAGTAAATTTAATTTGAATACAATTAAACTGAAATGGCTTGAAATCATTCTCATTATGGTCCACAGAGCAGGCGAGCGCCGAATGTAGTTCGCCAGAATTCAGCCTCACTCATGTGAAACCAGCGTCTCCATTGAATATTCAGGGTGATTAGGTCAGCTGTAGCCCAAACCACCTGGAAAAATGGGCGATTCAGGCGAATGGTTTCTGTGTTCCAGACTGAAAACAAACATTCAAAATGATTGTTTTTAATAATAATAGTTTTAGTTAAAGTTACAGTCATTTTCATCATTTTTTAGATGTTTATTCTCAGTCACTATTTCTTTATAGATGAATCCACCACTGGAGTCAGATGAAGGAAACACTTTATATCAATATAGTTTTTTACATCAAACTAATGGGAAATGTTCCAGCTTGAAATAAACCTGAGTTCCCCTTTAAGCTTTACACTTTAGTTTTTTTATTTAAATTCTGAACGTGGTGTGCTGATCAGTGTGTCTGTTGTCCTTGATGCTTTTCAGGAACTAGAGTTTGCTAATCTGACAGCCGTCCTCCACTGTATACATTCTTTTATCGCTGCCAAAGTGGCCTCCATGGACCCTCTCTTTATGTGCAGTCAAAGCTTCCCTGGAAATTACATGAACAGTTAAGAAGAAGCGTCCTGGTCGTGATGTGCACCCGAGGCGAATCAGCAGTATTTTATGCACAGAGCCAATTGATATGTATATCTTGTTCTTGCTATTTTTGTATGAACTCCTGGAAAAAAGACACATTTGTAAATGACTGTAGAGGTAGATCATGTATAAATACCCGACGGAAAGATGATGTTATTTAATTTTTGGACAAGTAGAGATAACAGAGTTGGAAAAGATTTACAGTTCTTCCATTTCTTTAAGAGTTTTTTTTCTTTCATTTCATACTGGACAGTGACGCAGATTGAAAGGTAGCACCTGTGATAGCTCACGGTGTGTAACTGCCATGACATCATATAACAGCAGAGACTGTGTTCAGCAGAAACTCTATAAAGGATTTACACTCTGCCAACAAATGTATTTTAACTGATAAAATGAATCTGATGCTGAGTTCGTGTCATGCAGGAATTGACATTTGCCACAGATCTTCAACAGGGATTTTCTTTCCTTTAAGCTCACAGTTGAACAGTTTGGGCATGTCTGTGACGACGGAGTGAAGATAACACAAACACTTACAATATAATGCAGACTAATAAGCCTCCAGAAACCCACTGATCTGAGTCAGCAGCCCTCTGATATGGGCCCAATTGAAATAAGCATAAGCTTTTGCTTCATAAACTCATGCCAGGCCTCCTTCACTGACTTGGATGAAGTTGTAAGTTGTTTGTGTTATTGTGTCCAACTTTTGTATCTAATCAAGGCGAAAGGTCTGAGTTTTCTCTGGCAAACAAGGACATTTCAGCTTCACGGTATTAAAAACTAATTTTTATCGACTCTCATTCTATTACAGTGAAATCTACTGTATGCCTTCAGTTGCTTTATGTAATGGTTTCAGTGTTCAATTACATATTTGCTGTATTTTCAATAAATTGCTTACAAAGCACACCTGTCTGTCATAAAAGAAATGTAACAGCCGGCTGTAGGCTTGTGCGCATCTACTTTAAAAGTGCATGGGCGGCACTTGATGGAACTTTTGCTTCACTGCTCATCTCCTGCTTATCCCCCGTCTTCATATCTGAGCTGGTGCTGAATGCAAAACACAAGTTGTCTTTCTTTTCCAGAGGACCTGTGCAGGCTGCAGGTCATTTTGTTTTACTGGATGAGCCCGTTCCAGTGATTATCTGTTATCAAATGAGCTGGACTGCAGCACAGTACTCATCCACTCAAGTGCTTACACCGTCCAAGAGATTTTATTGTCCCGCGTGGTGGATAACATCAGCTGAAGGTTTATTTAAAGGGAATAATGTGGAGGAAAAAAAATGCTTAGAATTTGCTTTGCTGCTGAGAGTTATCCAGTTCTTCAGGTGTTATGTGTTGAGTCTTGTTAGTGTGTTAGTTATAGTTGTCCTTGTGATTCATGTGAAGTGGTCGCTGAAGTACTTCCAATTAAAGTACTGTACTACCTTCCTACCAAAGTACCCACTAAACTATTGAACTATTGACCAAAACAGCTAACAAGACTAGCAGACTGGATGCCAACGACTGAACTACCTATGTGTCCATCAGACTTTATACTGAACTACCAAACTACCTACCAATCTGCTTACAGAGCTAAACACTATAATACCATCTACTTACCAGTACTTATCCATCAAACTAGCTGGCTACCAAATTACCTTCCTACCTTCGCAAATACCTATTGGACAACCAGCCAAGCCCCCTTCCGACTAAACCACTGACCTACCTCCCTACCCAAAGTTCACATTTAACAAACAGCTGTAAGGTGACATCAGTCTTTTTTTATCGAACTCTTGGCAAGAAATTTAATTCTTTCTTAAGCTATTCCTGTAGAATCTATTCCATTGTCCTGTCAGATAACTCGTTATGGTTGTCAGTGTTGGAAGGTTACCCCTCCTGTTGCCCTTTTCGCTGTTCTGCCTTTTCCCCCTGCACTCCCTCAGGTCTTAACCCTATACGAGCAGCCCGACCCAGTGTCACTGGTGCACCATGAAGGACATGATCCCTCACCGGCTTCCCACAGGTGAGTGACCACAGGGTGTGTTTGGTTGACTGGGCCGGACTAGCTGGAGACACTGCTGTAAAACACTGGACTGTCTACTCTGACTGAGGATGCATCATTTTTCTGCAACAACACATTCTGTCATTTATCTTTCACATGCCTTTAAGACAGCTGAATGCATTCAGCAGTAATGTGTTAGTACTTTATGTCACATAAAAACCTGGGGCCTCATTGATCATCAGCAGTAATGTGTTAGTACTTTATGTCACATAAAAACCTGGGACCTCATTGATCATCAGTGTGTAGAAAAGGTTCTAAATTCTGTCTTACTAATGAAATTTAGAATGTGTGTAAAAATCCATATTTACAGAACATACGTATGTGGGTCGTACGTGCATCACTAAGACATCAGTGTTGGGAAATCCCACTTGTTCTTAACCACCATACTTTAGGGATCATTTGCCCTCAGAAATGCCCCCAATTAACCAACAACACGCCTCTTTATAAAACAAGTGAATTTTTTTTATCATCATGGCAAAGAGAGCGACAAAGAGGAACTTTTCAGAAAACGAAATTGAGGTATTGGTCAGCGAGGTTGAAGATAACCAGTAATAATTGTTTGGTGCATTAAATGTTGGGATAACAAACAAAAGAAACAAATACTGCATTGGACAAGGTAACCGCCACAGTTATTTCTGTTGGGTCAGAGGAGAGTTCGCTAACAGAAATTTAAAAAAAAAAAAAAAAGTGGTTTGATGTTAAGCTCAGTGCCAAAATTTTTTGTCACAGCCCGTTAAAGAGAAATGACAGCAACTGGAGGACAAATTAATACCTAACTTTCGCCCAGTGACGGTGTCACCCACCTACAGATGAAATGTTTTAATAACCAAAGTTAGTCCAGCTAAAACATATCCACACTCTGTAACACTCACCAATAAGCCAGCCATCTTCAACAGCTCCTGCTTGGAGACCCACAGAGCTGTTCTGCTCAATGAATGAGTCATGTGTTCCTCCAGGCCACCGGTCAACAATGTTGGACAGCGATAAATGTGCATCCCAGATTATTTGTACGTTGATTGAATGAAACCCATTTCTATTGACATAATTAAAGTCATTAGTGATGCTGCTTTGATTGTGAGGTGGGTGCAGTCTATGGCTGCACTTGTGTTTGGGATGAAGTCCCCGTTTGATTTGGGCTTGTTGGTGATGGCTGTAAGGGAACTGGATGTAGGCTGGGGCCAGGGGGGTTATGGCATCCAACACTGCCGGCATGATCCTGCTCAGTGATGGCTGGGAAACGTCGCATACCTCCAACCTCATGCTGGAATGTGCCGGAGGTCAAAATCCCTGAATTCCTTCTATTTGTAGTTTCACTATTCCACCACTAGATTACGCCTGGTCAGAGCTGCATTCCTAAGTATAAGGACAAGTTGATACATTCCATACTTTGCGTGGGAATGTTCACACGCACAGATGATAAATGAGGACCCTGGAGTCTGAAGGTTAGGAATTCCGTCACTGACTTAGTTTTGGCGTGAGCCTGCCCGACTGGTTCCTTATTCACCTGTGTTCCCACTAAGCCGGAGTCAGGTGGTTGTGATGACATTGGTGTGACAACCACACGCTGATGCTGAGAAACTGTTCGCTACCTGCCGCGTTATTAGGCATTAATGAATGATGCCGGTTTATTTTGGCGTGTCGACTTTGGAGGCCTTCACTCTTCTCAGTTGCTCGGCTAATCACAGTTTGTGCTCAGATTTTCTCATGAATGGCATTATTTCACTTCATTTAAAGGAATAAAATTAAACTTCATTTGGTTGAGCAGTTAACTGTACACGCTTGTGTCTAAATTTTAGCCTTTGGAATGCCTCATGAAAAAACCTGATTGAAATCCATCACTTTCTCCCTACAACATAATCTCATATCCCAGTTTAAATCCCTCTATTTTCATTTTTTTCCCCTGCCTACAGTCAAATGTAAGACCCGTCATCTAAAGTGAACTAAACTAAAAAGCCAACATGTGTGATCGATCGACAGTGTAGAAAGTCAACTAGTCTTCAACTATTTCACACCCAGAAGCAGCGTCTATGACCTTGATGTCCTCAGTGTCGGCACATCCTTGGCAGTCTTAGCCTCATGTTATATGAACAACTTGAATTCACCCTGAAGGCTTGAATTGCTGTTAGGTCTGCTACTAAAGATAATTTTTCTTCATTGATTAGGAATGGAATCATTTCCATTTTTTTTATTTAAACACACACAAAGAGGAAAAATATTCCCTCTGTATTTTACCTCTTCCCGTAGATGATGTGTTCATATGTCTTGTGTTGTCAGATCACGAGTGTGACAAAGCAAAGTGTGACATTTAAACATTTTAGAGGCTGTGTCCAGCAAATGTTTGGCATTTTTCCGGAAAAAAACAAAAAAAACGGTTGTTTGATTGTTCTGCCAAGCAGTTTGAAATGTCTTCTGCTTCTGAAGCTTCTGCTTTCTGAGATCAATAAAACATCTGTCCACCGCTGACATTCACTCCTCTGAGATATCTGGCTGTCAATGAAACTGATTATGCAGCTCATTGACTTTAATTTCTAAATGCTGCTTATTGAATGGACTCAATTAGATCTAATTCTGCATTATGAAGATATCATGAGACGAGTTCTATTATTAAACGCGTCTGCATGAAAAACTGGACTGACCATCTGTAACCTGTGGCCTTCGTAAGCTGAATGCTAATTTGCAGAGTGCTTCAACTTTGACTGTCACCCTGGAAGTGACTTTCTATGAGCAACATGGGGGGTGAAGGGGCCGCGGAGTTTCTGCTGCTTGCTTGTTCTGTTATTCTTAAATGATGCAACGGGGGAAGTTGAAGCAGCAGCGGTCAGAAACTGTCACAAAAGCGCGTAAAAGGGCATTTAATGGGGTGTCTGAACAACAGCTCGGCACGCTGTGGTGGCAGGAATTACCATTTATTCAACACATCCTGACAGCCAAAAGTTGA